ACAGAAACGAAGCAATGGTCCTGCGACACAACACTAATGTATACGATTTTTCAACATGAAAATATTATATATTGTAGCTATACATATAGAAGTATATAAAAGAGAATAGAAAAAAGGCAAAAAAAAAAAAAAAAACTGTAACGGCTAAGTACATCATTGTAACGACGATGCTAATTAGTAAAACGAGATTTATTTTATTATCTTCATGGTCGCTATTATTATTATTATTATTACTATTATTATTATTGCCGTTATGATTATTATATTAATATTATCGATACCTGCGGTTCTCGCGCGTTGTGATGAGATCCCCATTGCAATTGTAGTACGATTATTATTAATATTACGAATGATTGAAAATTTATTATTCACGGCCGCATGTTGGACGTAATTTTGAAGAGAGAGAGAAAAATAAGCAAACACGACGGAAGAGCCGATCGGAAATGTGCTAAAGTGATTTTCTGTCGATTTATTAAAACTATCCGATTGTCGACGATTTATTGTAACGAATTTTTGCGGCTCGACGATTTATTACTTAGCACGTAGGAAAGAAGAAAGAAGGATATCCATTTATTGTATAAACGAAGGCGATGCGAAGGTGAGAATTACGAGTATCCTCCAGAAGATTAGGTGGTTAAATTCTGTTGTTAAATAATATGTCGCGGGTGAAACGATAGGCTGAAGATCGACCGTTGAGAGAACAGTTACCTTCGAATTCCCTATCCTTTACTCTCCTCCCAGTCAAACACAGAGTTTTACGGATCGTTCCCTTTTGTCAAGATTTTTTTATTCTCCGTCGATACCTCCTTCCATCGAGGCATTCCAGTTTTCACGCGAACCGCGAAATTCTATCTGTCCGTCTCAAATGCCAATCTTCAGCTGATTATTTCGCCAACCGTGCGACCAGTACAAGTGCGTTCGGCACAGCTAGTATACGACAAAAGAGCGTCTGAGGTTCGCCGCGAGACCGGCCTCAGGCGTCCCTTATAAGCTCTACCTAACATTTAATAAAAAGAAATGAAACAAAAAAAAAAACGAGTCAAGAATACGAGATCGATGAGACGAAGAGAGAGAGAGAGAGAGAAAGAAAAAAAAGAATAAGAAATAACGTTTAACATTTATGGATACACGATATAAGATATTATATATTCATATTCCTCGCTCCCCCCTCCGCTCGATCCTTTTTCTCCAATCGTCCAAGTTTCTTTTAAGATGACCGACACGAAAGAAAAGAAAAAAAAATGATCATCCGTGAAAATTTACTTCGAGGCGCACGCCCACGCTGGTTATTTACCGCATTTATGATTCTCATTGTCGGATGAAATTTCAACTTACTTTCCTGCGCACGTTTCATTCGACGAAAAAAGGTTATATCTCGATCTTTCTACCTTACGATATTACATCGTACAAATGTTAAGACGTCATAGCAATAAAATTTTGTTACCAGTTTTCTCGAAACGATTAGTATCTTTTTGCGAAAATATACGGAATACAGTTTTGAGTATTTGAAGAAAACACTTTGTAAGAGTGTGGAAAGAAAGTTGAAGTCGCGTCTCGATGTGTACAACAGTATACCACAGAAATCATTGTATCGATTAAAATCATGGTAAACTTAATAAA